TTAATAATGCTAATGTATTGATATTTTTCTAGTTTTGATTTAAGTTTGCTTGTTTTGCGTCGTCACAGTTGCTAGATGACGTACGCCGGGGTAAGGAGGGGAGGCTAGACCGTCCAAATCCACAGCCTCTTTTTTTCCAGTCTTCCCGGTCTACCAAGGACCTGGCCCGCCGAGACCGGGGAGTCTGGGTCCTCCGGAGGACCCGGCCTGTCGTTTTGGACACAGCCTATTCAACTATCTATCTAGGGCTTTTCAACTCAGGGCCCGTGGGCCGAGTCACCAAAGTTCGGCCCGCCAATTGTTTCATTCATCTCTTAAGCCCAAACCCCCAGATTTCTACTTTAAATAAAATAACTTATAGTAATTAAACATAGACATGTTTGGTATCTACAGAAATGTCAGAATCTTGACTAGAAGCTGGTAAAAATAATTTCTATGCACACTCAAGACAGTTGAAATTACAAGCAGATGAAAATAAAACTAAGAAAGTGAAAATAAAATTGGTTTAAAATTTGGCAAGTCAGAGATGTCAAATAATATTTGTGTCAAATATTAGGCCTAATGTTTTCTTTTTGTTTTTGATATTGTTTAATTATCACTACTTTTACAGGGTTCTGTATGTTGTATTCATGATTAAAAGCAGCAAAATAAACTATTTGAAAGGTAACAGATCTTTGTAATACTTGGTTTATTTACATAGTAATTGTAATTGCTGGATGTTTGGCCCCTGAGCTGCTGACCTGCAGTAACTGTGGCCCCCGGTGCAGTTTAGTTGATTAGCCCTGTTGTCATGTTGTAATGGATGCAGGATGTGGTTCTACTTTGTTTGGATGAAATATAGAAGGAATGTGAGTTTGAACTGAGAGCTGATAACAGGTGACGGCCCTTCTCTTCTTTAGTTCAGAGGATCTGATGTTTGTGGTTTTCCAGAAGAACTGTGAATTCTGATCCAGCTGGCTTCTTTGTATGATAGAGCTTTAAGCAGCATTAGTAGACAGTGTTCACATACTATGGTGTGACTGCTACTTTATCTGAGCGGCTGTGGTGGAATAGTTAGGGAAGTCATCCTGGAACCGGAAGGTTGCCAGTTCGATTCCCCATTCCAGCCGTCTCAGATGTTGTGTCCTTGGGCAAGACACGTCACCCGCCTTGCCTACTGATGGTGGTCAGAGGGTCCAGCGGTGTCAGTGCATGGCAGCCCCGCCTCTGTCAGTGTGCCTCAGGGCAGCTGTGGCTACAATGTAGCTTACCATCATCAGTGTGTGAATGTGTGCAAAGCGCTTTGGGGTCTGGAGGGTCTTGATAAAGCGCTCTATAAGTTCAGTCCATTTACCGTTTAGAACAGACTGGTGGAAGTAAGTTTCTGATTTATACCACTTGTTTTACCAACATTTTGTTTCCTGTGTTTTGACATTGAAATTATCCTACTTTAAAAAAATTCTACAATTTATTTATTTTTTTTTCAAAATTTGATGTGCTTACTGTTTCATTGTGAATAAGATCTGGGTTGAAGAGATTTGTAAATCACTGCATTCTGTTTTTATTTATGTTTTGCACAAAGTCTTGTATAACGGGTCCTATTTTCATGTAATAATTAAATCAAACTTTTCATTTTATTACTAAAATGATGAGAGTTGATTGCATGCTTCTTAACTTTTGCAACCTGTGATGTTTCAGCCTTGGGAAGTTAAAGATTACAGAGTAACAGTGTACTGATGGAACACTCACAGTGTCAGAGTCTGATGTACAGCTTCTGATGCCCATTTTATCTGCAAACACAACAGTAGTCATATATCTCCATGACTCAGGAAGCAGAATGTAATTCTCTAAATTAGGATAAATAAAGACGTGGTAATGTTACACACCATGATCAGAAATAAAGCCAGAGGCTGAAGACCTTCGATGTGGTTCCTACAGACAATGTGACAAGATAAGCTTCTGCTTTTGCTTGATACAAATAACTAATTAAACATCTAATGCTGAAAGATTTGAGTTAAACAAGATTAGATGTACAAGAACTGAATCCAGGTGTTCCTTTACAAACTGCCTCTTCATGACAAGCCGTGCTGTGTGGGCGAAGTGATCCAGAGCTGAAGAAACTGATGTGTCCTGCAGCGGCGGCAGAGAGTCGGGGGTGTTTCTGAGAGTTCGCTCTGCAGACGCTGATCTGCTCTGCAGCTCCAGCTGGGAAACTGAAGACACGGGTAATGAACATGAGCTACAGCCACACAAACTGTCCCACTGAGAAGTTTATGTCCCAAACAGCACAAACCTTTGTGATCGTACAGGTACACGTGCACAGGCTGGTTCTGACCACATGCACAGAATGCTACCATGTTCTCATACGGGTGGAAAGAGACACCATGGAGAGCTGTGTGGTAACAGAGCTCAGAGTACACTGCAACCTGGTCCCCTGAGGAAACAGACACAAATTACAGGCAGAGGAATGCATCTCACCAATCAGCTTTCAGCCCAGAGGTTTAAAAGGATCTGATTTTATGACAAGAAATAATGAAGTTGTAGCCATTTTAATCAAACATTGACAATAACATTATGTGATCTCTTACTACTAAATTATGGGGTGCCGTTTGTAAAGTTACACAGTCAAAAATTACCACCAATATTTTTTTTAATTTAGCCTTTTATAAGAAAAAAAAAGAACAGATTTATTTTTCAAAGTCAGTTTTTCACCATATGATTCATCCATTTGTAAATGTCATAGTTTAAAAAC